TGGCTCCGCCCCTCCCTAGGTCGATTCAGCCTAAAAAAATACCTCGTGATTAGATTTTTGCGAGGCCTGGCGAGATCGGTGCCCTCTGGGTGATTTGTTCGCGTGTTGAGGACGATGGTGATGATGAAGGTGATATTGGTGGTGATGATGAAGGTGATATTGGTGGTGATGATGAAGGTGATATTGATGGTGATGATGTTGATGATATTGGTGGTGATGATGAAGGTGATATTGGTGATGATGAAGGTGATATTGGTGGTGATGATGAAGGTGATATTGGTGGTGATGATGAAGGTGATATTGGTGATGATGAAGGTGATATTGATGGTGATGATGTTGATGATATTGATGGTGATGAAGAAAGTGATATTGGTGGTGATGATGAAGGTGATATTGGTGGTGATGATGAAGGTGATATTGATGGTGATGATGAAGGTGATATTGATGGTGATGATGTTGATGATATTGATGGTGATGATGTTGATGATATTGGTGGTGATGATGAAGGTGATATTGATGGTGATGATGTTGATGATATTGATGATATTGAAAGTGATGATGTTGATGATATTAGTGGTGATGATGAAGGTGACATTGATGGTGATAATGAAAGTGATATTGATGATGATGATGTTGATGATATTGATGGTGATGATGTTGATGATATTGATGGTGATGATGTTGATGATATTGGTGGTGATGATGAAGGTGATATTGATGGTGATGATGTTGATGATATTGATGATATTGATGGTGATGATGTTGATGATATTGATGGTGATAATGAAAGTGATATTGATGATGATGATGATGTTGATGATATTGATGGTGATGATGTTGATGACATTGATGATGTTGATTATATTGGTGGTGATGATGAAGGTGATATTGATGGTGATGATGTTGATGATATTGGTTGTGATGGTGAAGGTTATATTGGTGGTGGTGATGATGAAGGTGCTATTAGTGGTGATGATGTTGCTGATGAGATGGATGGTGGTGATGAAGGTGATATTGATGGTGATGATGTTCATGATGATATTGATGGTGATGATGTTGATGATGATATTGATGGTGATGATGAAGGTGATATTGATGGTGATGATGTTGATACTGATGTTCAAGCTGTTGTTGATCATCATGACGATGTTGATTATGCTCATGACGATATAGGCGATGTTAATGATGATGCTGATGCTGATTATGATGTTGATTATTGATGATGATGACGTCAATGACGATGCTGATAATTTGTTGCTGATTAAAAACGCACTAAATCACGTTTGCCAAGCAAGCAAAGGTCGAAGGTCCCAGAACGCCAAGCAGTCGGTCAGCAACAAACAGCACTACTATGAAAGTTGTAATAGACGCGAGTGTAACAAGCTTTCCTTGAATGGGAGCAAAAGTTGAATTTTTTAATGATGATGATGATATTGCCAATAAAGATTTTGGTGATGACGATGTTGATGTTGATGTTGGTGATGTTGATGTTGGTGATGTCGATGGTGTTGATGTTTGTAGGGGTCGCAGAGACGCGGCAGGCAGAAGCTGCCACCACACAGGCGCCGTTTGAGAGTCCCCTAAAAGGCGCTTTGTGCCGGGGGGGGGGGGGGCGGGGGGGACCTCCCAGACGAAGGCGGAGCACGTGGGGAAGTCGCGGCTCCACGCTCCCGCCGTGCTCTGTCAGTGTGTGTGTCTCAGTGTGTGTGTGTGTTAGTGTGTGTGTGTGTGTCTCAGTGTGTGTGTGTGTCAGTGTGTGTGTGTCTCAGTGTGTGTGTGTCTCAGTGTGTGTGTCAGTGTGTGTGTGTCTCAGTGTGTGTGTGTGTCAGTGTGTGTGTGTGTCTCAGTGTGTGTGTGTGTCAGTGTGTGTGTGTCTCAGTGTGTGTGTGTGTCTCAGTGTGTGTGTGTCTCAGTGTGTGTGTCAGTGTGTGTGTGTGTCTCAGTGTGTCTCAGTGTGTGTGTGTGTCTCAGTGTGTGTGTGTGTGTCTCAGTGTGTGTGTGTCAGTGTGTGTGTCTCAGTGTGTGTGTGTGTGTGTCTCAGTGTGTGTGTGTCTCAGTGTGTGTGTGTGTCTCAGTGTGTGTGTGTCAGTGTGTTTGTGTGTCTCAGTGTGTGTGTGTCTCAGTGTGTGTGTGTCTCAGTGTGTGTGTGTCTCAGTGTGTGTGTGTCTCAGTGTGTGTGTGTCTCAGTGTGTGTGTGTCTCAGTGTGTGTGTGTCTCAGTGTGTGTTTGTCTCAGTGTGTGTGTGTCTCAGTGTGTGTGTCAGTGTGTGTGTGTGTCTCAGTGTGTGTGTGTGTCAGTGTGTGTGTGTGTCTCAGTGTGTGTGTGTGTCTCAGTGTGTGTGTGTGTCAGTGTGTGTGTGTGTCTCAGTGTGTGTGTGTGTCTCAGTGTGTGTGTGTGTCTCAGTGTGTGTGTGTCTCAGTGTGTGTGTGTCTCAGTATGTGTGTGTCTCAGTGTGTGTGTCTCAGTGTGTGGGGAGCGATAGTGTAGCGGTTAGCACGCTGCGCTATGGACCCGGCGACACGGGTTCGATTCCCGCTCTTGGCCAACACCAGTGACGATTATCAAAACCGGTCCCGGGCCTCCCCTAGGTCGACTCAACCTTAAATGAGTACCTGGTGCAGTGTGTAAACATTGCCACTGGGGAGACTAAGGCGGTCGGGCGTGGTGCTGGCCACCCACCCCCTCGTGTACCGTTCCGGCCTTCATAGGTGCTCGCTAACAGCACTTGCCCCTACAGTCTGTTAAGGCTATAAGGGGGATCTTTGTCTTTGTCTTTGTCTTTGTCTCAGTGTGTGTGTATGTCTGTCTGTCTCAGTGTGTGTGTGTGTCTCTGTCAGTCTCAGTGGCTATTAGTCTCAGTGTCAGTGTCTGTCTGTGTCATTGTCTCACTGTCTATCTCAGTGTCTGTGTGTCCATTTCTCTCAGTATCTATCTGTGTGTGTGTGTGTCTGTTGGGAGCGGTAGTGTAACGGTTTGCGCGATGCGCTACGAACCTGGCGACCCAAATTCAATGCGGCCAACACCAGTGACGATTATCTGAACCGGTCATGGCCCTCCAACCTCAAACGAGTACCTGGTGTGTAAATATCGCCGCTGGCAAGACACTCTCGTGTGACGTGCTGGGGGATGTTTGTCTGTCCCCGTGTGTGTAGGTATGTCAACGTATTCTTGGTTCTTTCAATAAAGTCACGTAGAAGGGAAATAAGAAAAATATTACAATAAAATTCTCACGAAGTTTCGATTGCAACACAAGCAATCATCATCAGGTGTGAAAACCACAGCAATACATTTTTGAAAAATGTTATTTTTGAATTTTTTTCACCTGATGACGATTGCTTGTGTTGTTTTTTAAATTATTTTACTATTTCCCTTCTACGTAACTTTACCGAAAAAAACAAGAATATGAATCCCTGCAGTCGCGGAAGCTTTAAAACGAAATTTAGCATGTCAACGTGGTTGTTTCATCGTGGGGAACGGTACTGTAGTGCACTCACTGCCAACATCAGTGACAAATGAATCATTTGGCGGGTCCTCGGGGTCCCACAAAAATCAGGTCAACAATAATTATTATTTTTCAGTCCGCCCACTCGTGACCCCGACAGCAACGCGCCGCCCGCCCAGACTCGCGCCAACAAGCGCCAGCAGCAGCAGGCGGCGGCGATCAACACGACGGGCGCCACCCCCACCGGCCAAACGCGAGCCCCGGGGGGCGTCCGACGCAGTCGCGCACGGCGACGACGACGACGCCCTCCGGTCAGCCGTCGATCCTCGGCTTCTTTGCCAAGGCGAGCCCCGCCCCGCCCCCAGGCAGTGAATTTAACGTGTTTATGTAATTTTTCAACTTTTTACAAAACTTAGTGCCCCGAGTAGCTCTCGACGAGGCCAATCGATTGACCGCTAGAGTTTTGTTGTTGTCGGTAAGGCGGCGAGACTCGTGTCGCTACGAGGTTTTTCCCACCCCGGGGCAGTGATGGGACCCCGGGGTCCCGCCAATTTGCTTCAAATATTTGAACCAGGGTAGCAGCACGCCAGCCGCCTCCCGAGTGGTGATGTTTAGGCACCGCACAAGGCAATAATTTAAGACGGCGTCGAGACCGTGGGGAGTTTCGGATAGTCATCACTCGTGGCAAGAATCGAACTCGGGTCGCCGGGTTCATGCGCTAACAACTGCGCCACCTCCGATTAGCACGGTTGGCTACGTACGCTACGAAAGCAGGTTAACATACATACATACATGCAAGCACAAACTCGCGCAACCAGCGTAACCACACATACGTAAGCACATAAAGACAAACAACACGTAACCACAACACGTAACCACACAAAAACAAGTTCCCCCGTATAGCCTGTAACAGACTGTAGGGGCAAGTGCTGTTAGCGAGCACCTATGGAGGCCGGAACGGTACACGAGGAGTTTGGTGGCCAGCACCACGCCCGACCGCCTTTGTCTCCCCAGTGGCGATGTTTGCACATCGCACCGGGTACTAATTTGAGGCTGAGTCGACCTAGGGGAGGCCCAGGACCAGTTCAGACAATCGTCACCTGGTGTTGGCCGTGAGCGGGAATCGAACTCGGGTCGCCGGGTTCATAGCGCAGCGTAGCGCTAACCGCTACACCACCGCTCCAAACAAAAAACAAAGATCCCCCATATAGCCTTAACAGACTGTAGGGGCAAGTGCTGTTAGCGAGCACCTATGGAGGCCGAAACGGTACACGAGGAGTTTGGTGGCCAGCACCACGCCCGACCGCCTTTGTCTCCCCAGTGGCGATGTTTGCACATCGCACCGGGTACTAATTTGAGGCTGAGTCGACCTAGGGGAGGCCCAGGACCAGTTCAGACAATCGTCACCTGGTGTTGGCCGTGAGCGGGAATCGAACTCGGGTCGCCGGGTTCATAGCGCAGCGTGGCGCTAACCGCTACACCACCGCTCCCCACACACACGTACACACACACACGTGACGGCACACACGCATGACCACACACGTGGTACTTGACTCACGTCTGGGCTCGCGAGGCCCGTCCACTGTGACCTTGATGGCGCGGTGGTAGGTGGCGACTTGTGGGGGGCTTGTGAACACCGTGATGGTCAGCGTGAAGCTTTTACCTGCAGCGGGCACGGGAGAGGGGAGGGGGGGGGGGCACGCAGGGGTGGGGTAGGAGGGGGAGTTCAAGGCTCAAGATGAATTTGGGTTACCAGGTGAGAGCTCTAGGGCCCCAAGATGGCAGGGTAGAGGAGTCTCATTTGCAAGAGCGACCTGGGTTACTGAAATGGCAAAGCAAAAACAGAGTAGAAAAATAATAACCAGATAGTGATCAGGGCAGAGACAGACAGATAGAGATCAGGGCAGAGACAACCAGATAGAGATCAGGGCAGAGACAACCAGATAGAGATGAGGGCAGAGACAACCAGATAGAGATCAGGGCAGAGACAACCAGATAGAGATGAGGGCAGAGACAACCAGATAGAGATGAGGGCAGAGACAGACAGATAGAGATCAGAGCAGAGACAGACAGATAGAGATCAGGGCAGAGACAGTCAGGTAGAGATCAGGGCAGAGACAGACAGACAGAGATCCGGGTAGAGACAGACAGATAGAGATCAGAGCAGAGACAGACAGATAGAGATCAGGGCAGAGACAGACAGACAGAGATCAGGGCATAGACAGACAGATAGAGATGAGAGTAGAGACAGACAGATAGAGATCAGGGCAGAGACAGACAAATAGAGATCAGAGCAGAGAAAGACAGATAGAGATTAGGGCAGAGACAGACAGATAGAGAGCAGAGCAGAGACAGACAAAGAGAGATCAGATCAGAGACAGACAGATAGAGATCAGGGCAGAGACAGACAGATAGAGATCAGAGCAGAGACAGACAGATAGAGATCAGGACAGAGACAGACAAATAGAGATCAGAGCAGAGAAAGACAGATAGAGATTAGGGCAGAGACAGACAGATAGAGATCAGGACAGAGACAGACAAATAGAGATCAGAGCAGAAACAGACAGATAGAGATCAGGGCAGAGACAGACAGATAGAGATCAGGGCAGAGACAGACAGATAGAGATCAGAGCAGAGACAACCAGATAGAGATCAGGGCAGAGACAGACAGATAGAGATCAGAGCAGAGACAGACAGATAGAGATCAGGGCAGAGACAGACAGATAGAGATCAGGGCAGAGAAAGACAGATAGAGATCAGGGCAGAGACAGCCAGATAGAGATCAGGGCAGAGACAGACAGATAGAGATCAGAGCAGAGAAAGACAGATAGAGATCAGGGCAGAGACAGACAGTTAGAGATCAGGGCAGAGACAGACAGATAGAGATCAGAGCAGAGACAGCCAGATAGAGATCAGGGCAGAGACAGACAGACAGAGATCAGAGCAGAGACAGACAGATAGAGATCAGAGTAGAGACAGACAGATGGAGATCAGAGCATAGACAACCAGATAGAGATCAGAGCAGAGACAACCAGATAGAGATCAGGGTAGAGACAGACAGAGATCAGAGCAGAGACAGACAGATAGAGATCAGAGTAGAGACAGACAGATAGAGATCAAAGTAGAGACAGATAGAGATCAGAGCAGAGACAACCAGATAGAGATCAGAGCAGAGACAGACAGATAGAGATCAGAGCAGAGACAACCAGAAAGAGATCAGAGCAGAGACAGACAGACAGAGATCAGAGCACAGACAGACAGACAGAGATCAGAGTAGAGACAGACAGATGGAGAACAGAGCAGAGACAACCAGATAGAGATCAGAGCAGAGACAACCAGATAGAGATCAGGGCAGAGACAGACAGATAGAGATCAGGGTAGAGACAGACAGAGATCAGAGCAGAGACAGACAGATAGAGATCAGAGTAAAGACAGACAGATAGAGATCAAAGTAGATACAGATAGAGATCAGAGCAGAGACAACCAGATAGAGGTCAGGGCAGAGACAGACAGATAGAGATCAGGGTAGAGACAGACAGAGATCAGAGCAGAGACAGGCAGATAGAGATCAGAGCAGAGACAGACAGATAGAGATCAGAGCAGAGACAACCAGATAGAGATCAGAGCAGAGACAGACAGATAGAGATCAGGGCAGAGACAGACAGATAGAGATCAGGGTAGAGACAGACAGAGATCAGAGCAGAGACAGACAGATAGAGATCACAGCAGAGACAGACAGATAGAGATCAGAGCAGAGACAGACAGATAGAGATCAGGGCAGAGACAGACAGATAGAGATCAGAGACAGAGACAGACAGATAGAGATCAGGGCAGAGACAGACAGATAGAGATCAGGGTAGAGACAGAGATCAGAGTAGAGACAACCAGATAGAGATCAGGGCAGAGACAGACAGATAGAGATCAGAGCAGAGACAACCAGATAGAGATTAGGGCAGAGACAACCAGATAGAGATCAGGGCAGATACAGTCAGTTAGAGATCAGGGCAGAGACAACCAGTTATAAATCAGAGCAGAGACAACCAGATAGAGATCAGAGCAGAGACAACCAGATAGAGATCAGAGCAGAGACAACCAGATAGAGATCAGAGCAGAGACAGACAGATAGAGATCAGAGTAGAGACAGTCAGATAGAGATCAGGGCAGAGACAAACAGATAGAGATCAGAGTAGAGACAGACAGATAGAGATCAGAGTAGAGACAGTCAGATAGAGATCAGAGCAGAGACAACCAGATAGAGATCAGAACAGAGACAACCAGATAGAGATCAGGGCAGAGACAGACAGATAGATATCAGGGCAGAGACAGACAGATATCAGAGCAGAGACAGACAGATAGAGATCAGAATAGAGACAGACAGATAGAGATCAGGGCAGAAACAGTCAGATAGAGATCAGAGCAGAGACAGACAGATAGAGATCAGGGCAGAGACAGACAGATAGAGATCAGAGACAGAGACAGACAGATAGATATCAGGGCAGAGACAGACAGACAGAGATCAGGGCAGAGACAGACAGACAGAGATCAGAGTAGAGACAACCAGATAGAGAGCAGAGCAGAGACAGACAGATAGAGATCAGTAGAGACAGTCAGATAGAGATCAGGGCAGAGACAGACAGATAGAGATCAGAGCAGAGACAGACAGATAGAGATCAGAGTAGAGACAGACAGACAGAGATCAGGGCAGAGACAGACAGATAGAGATCAGGGCAGAGACAGCCAGATAGAGATCAGCGCAGAGACAGACAGATAGAGATCAGGGCAGAGACAGACAGATAGAGATCAGGGTAGAGACAGACAGACAGAGATCAGGGCAGAGACAGCCAGATAGAGATCAGAGTAGAGACAGTCAGATAGAGATCAGGGCAGAGACAGACAGATAAAGATCAGGGCAGAGACAGACAGATAGAGATCAGGGCAGAGACAGTCAGATAGAGATCAGGGTAGAGACAGACAGATAGAGATCAGGGTAGAGACAGACAGAGATCAGAGCAGAGACAGACAGATAGAGATCAGAGCAGAGACAGCCAGATAGAGATCAGAGCAGAGACAGACAGATAGAGATCAGGGCAGAGACAAACAGATAGAGATCAGAGACAGAGACAGACAGATAGAGATCAGGGCAGAGACAGACAGACAGAGATCAGGGCAGAGACAGACAGACAGAGATCAGAGTAGAGACCATCAGATAGAGAGCAGAGCAGAGACAGACAGATAGAGATCAGTAGAGACAGTCAGATAGAGATCAGGGCAGAGACAGACAGATAGAGATCAGAGCAGAGACAGACAGATAGAGATCAGAGTAGAGACAGACAGACAGAGATCAGGGCAGAGACAGACAGATAGAGATCAGGGCATAGACAGCCAGATAGAGATCAGCGCAGAGACAGACAGATAGAGATCAGGGCAGAGACAGACAGATAGAGATCAGGGTAGAGACAGACAGACAGAGATCAGGGCAGAGACAGCCAGATAGAGATCAGAGTAGAGACAGTCAGATAGAGATCAGGGCAGAGACAGACAGATAAAGTTCAGGGCAGAGACAGACAGATAGAGATCAGGGCAGAGACAGACAGATAGAGATCAGAGCAGAGACAACCAGATAGAGATCAGAGCAGAGACATCCAGATAGAGATCAGAGCAGAGACAGACATATAGAAATCAGAGCAGAGACAACCAGATAGAGATCAGAGCAGAGACAACCAGATAGAGATCAGAGCAGAGACAGACAGATAGAGATCAGAGCAGAGACAGTCAGATAGAGATCAGGGCAGAGACAGACAGATAGAGATCAGGGCAGAGACAACCAGATAGAGATCAGGGCAGAGACAGACAGGTAGAGATCAGGGCAGAGACAGACAGACAGAGATCAGAGTAGAGACAACCAGATAGAGATCAGGGCAGAGACAGACAGATAGAGATCAGAGCAGAGACAACCAGATAGAGATCAGAGCAGAGACAACCAGATAGAGATCAGAGCAGAGACAGACAGATAGAGATCAGAGCAGAGACAACCAGATAGAGAGCAGAGCAGAGACAACCCCGTATAGCCAAAGATACTTCTGGGACAAGTGCTGTTAGCGAGTAGCACCTATGAAGGCCGGCGCAGCACATGAAGGGGTGGGTGGCTAGCGCCAGGCCCGACCGCCTTAATCTCCCTAGTGGCGATGTTTACAGACCCGCACCAGGTACACATTCAGTTTCAGTTTATTTATTTTGGTATACCCCTGTGAGCCATTCGGCTCTTGAATCGGGTGCAACCACAACAAACAAAAAAACAAAAACACGAACAAGAAAAACATCTTAAAGTGACTATGTGACTGTGCAAACAGAAAATCCATGAAAAGAAACAGCAAAATATTCCTGAAAAAAGCACCGTACACCAACGCTGTGTGCAAAACATCCCAGTGGGATGCAAGTCAAACAACAAAACAACAACCACAAGAAAACTTAGATTAAGGCCATCAGTCTAACTCCGTACTACAACAAAACAGACATATCCAAACCAAAAAATGTTTTCTAAATCACCAAAAAAATAAAGCCATAATTGCAACGTAACAGTGATCACAGGAACTGTGACCGAATTTTTACAATAAACTACATAAATAACATGTAACACCAAATCCTAGAGCCATAGCTGGCTGC